ACACTATTTTTTAGTTTTTCTACTGATTGTAGATTTGTACCAAGTAGTAAGAAATAGAGAGATCGTGGGTGTTCTTGACATGGTGTCCCCAAAGGTGGCATCTTGCAACATCATCGAACAAAGACTCTGCCGGGGTGTTGACATTGGGACAGAGGGGATACAGGGGGGGATACAGAGTGTTTTCTGTTGCCATGACAACCCTTCTTGTGGTCCTTGTGTAGCCATGCCCACTTCCCTCCTGTGCTCAACCCCTCCTTAACCCCTGGACGCAAAATATCCGTTCCCCTTTCCAACAACGTTGCCATTTCAAGAATGTTAAGAAAATCAGGTTGTACAGGATGTAACCTTTCAGGACTTTTTTCACGACGCCGAATTCTCTGGAGACTCACCCAGAAGGGGCCCCTCAGCCCTCTTCTCTCCGTGTGGCCGAGCGGTCCCTGGCGTAGGGGCCACCGCTCGAGACCCACGCACCCCCACGGGTGTGTGAGTTATTTCTGGTTTCTTTATTATTACCAGGATCAAAGCTGTCATGGCGTTCGCATGCAGATGCCATGTGGCTGGATGGCGGATGCCTGTGCAGTGTTTGAAGGAACCGTCCAGCTGGTTTCCGGAGGGGCCGGGCCCGCTGCCTTCCCCACGTTCTCCCCAGCGATGGGCGTTGTCACTGCTTTTCACTCCGGCCTTTCTGGGGAGGAGGGCAGGGCTATTTCTTTGTGGTTTAATGGGCGTCTATCTCCCTAATGGATCGTGATCATGACCGTGTTTTCCGGCCCTAATCTGCTATCTGTGTACCGTTCAGCTGAAAGGACTCTCTTTTGTCTGTTTTCTAATTGGGTTGTCTGGTCTTTTACCGTTGGGTGTTTAGAGGGCTTTACGCACCCCGGACGCTTGTCCCTTGTCGGATATGCGGTTTGGCAGCACTTCCCACCATCTCCAGCGTCCTCATCCCCTTCACGGGGTTTTCCACAGAGCAAATGCTTATGATTTTTATGATGTCTGATGCGTCCACTTTTTGCTTTAATTGGCTGGGCTTCTGCTGGTCAGTCTGGAAACTCTTTGGCCCTAAGTCCTAAAGACGTTCCCTCTGTTTTTTCCTCTGAAAGCGTGAGTTTACGTTTCACGTCTCTGTCTGTGATCCACGTGGAGTTGATTATTATACGTTTGATGCAGAGCCGGGCTCCTGTTGGTCGGCCTTTGCCAGCACCCGGGGCTTCGAGCGCCGTTTGCTGTCTTCTCTCCACCGAGCAGCCTTTGCGCCCACTGAACAGCTGGGCGTGTTTATCTGGGCCCCTTCTGGGTTCTCGGTTCTGATCCACCGAGGTGTGGTCTAGTCCTCTGCCGGTAACACATTGCGTGGGCTTAATTTCTGTAGCTATAAATGAAATCTTAAAACTGGGTAGACTGAGTCTACCTAGTTATTTTTAATTAAACTATTCTTTCTTCATTCATTCTTTTTTTTAATTTTTCATATAAATTTTCAGAGAATCTTTGTATTGGCCAAAAAATTGCTGGGGTTTTCATGAAAATTCTTAAACCTGTATGTAAATTTGAGGAAAACAGGCATATTGACAATGTAGACTCCTCCGATCTGTTAGCACGGTGTATTTCTCTATTGAGCAGTTTACCGATTTCTTGCTTTAGCATCTGCCACGTTCAGGATCTATTTTGTACCTGTGTTGTTACTGCTCAGCATTTCATTTTATTTTTTCACCGATTACAAAAGGCGTCGTGTCTTTCATCCTGGTGTCCGTGAGCTCAATGCGAGTTTGCACAACAGAAAGACAGTTGCATTTTTATGTTCGTGGCGTTCCCTGTCACTGGCTTCTCTCACGTCTTCGCTCTGGAAGTGTCCTTACAGGTCTGGCGATACAGTTTACGTGGGAGGCTGTGTCACCGGCAAACAGGGGCCATTGTGTTCCCCCCTTTCTGGCCGGTACGTGCTTGCCGTCATTTCGTGGCCTGCGACAGCGTCACATCTTCTGGCCCAGCGCTGGCAAAACCGGGGAGCCCGGGCCTGCGCCTCGTTCTCCGTGTTCGGGGAGCACTCAGTGCCACCCACTGAGTGTGAGTCAGCTGCTTTGGGGTGCTCACTGTCGCCTGGGAGAAGTTTGCCCCACTCACATTTCCCTGAAAGTTTGTTTTCCATGATTAAACAGTGACATTTGCGAAATGCCTTTTTTCAACACAGATTATTACAACCTTGGAGTTCACTCTTTAGCCGGTTATTATGGCCATTACATTGATTGGTTTTTCAAATATCGAACCATTTTTACATGCCTGGAATAAACAACACTTGGTCATTTTGACGAACTCTTGTTACATATTGCTCGCTGTTATTTTCTTTCATTAGGCTAAGGATTTTGTATCTACATTTATTAAGGATATTGGTTTATTCCTATTTTTTCAGAACCGTTGTTGTCTGGTCTCAGCATCAGTTGTCATAGCTCAGTCTGCTGCCACGAAATGCCATAGACCAAGGACTTAAACAGTGGACATTTATTTTCCCACAGTTCCGGGGCCCGGACATTTGATGCCAGGGTGGAAGGTGGTCAAGGGGGGCGAGGGCTCTCTCCGGCTGGCAGACGCCTGCATTCCGGGGGCTCACCTGACCTTCTCTCAGTGCATGTATGGGGGGGTGCATGTATGGGGGGGTCCCTTTCTCCTCCTTCATTCAAGGCCACCAGTCTCAGTGGATTAGCCGCCCACCCTCACCACCTACTTTGGTCTCATTGGCCCTCTTCAAGCCCTGGGTTCAAATGCAGTTACATCAGGAGTTAGGGCTTCGCCATGTGGGTTCGGGGACAGGGATTCAGTCCACAGCACAGGGTAACATTCGCGCCACAAAGCACACGGGGTGCTCCATCCCCTCCTACGTGCCTGGAAGGAGCGCTGTGAGATTGGAGTCCATTATTTAAAGGTCCGGTAGATGTCTTAGTGCCTTTAACAGAAGACCAGAGACTGCTGGCCTGTAAACAATAGAAACGCATTCCTCACTCTTCTGGAGGCTGGGAAGTTCCTGACCGAGGGGCCAGTGATGCAGGGTCCGGGAGGGTCTCTTCCTCCTTCACAGGTGGCGTCTCCTCGCTGTGTCCTCCTGTGACAGGAGGGTGCTCTCTGGAGTCTGCTCCATGAAGGTGCCCATCCCGTTCCCGAGGACAAGGCCCTCGGGACCTCATCACCTCCCAGTGCCCCGCCCCGGGGCTCTCATCACCTGAATTTTGTGCGAACATGAACACTCTCAGTCTGTGGTGGTAGAATTCTCCTCTAACACTCCTGGGCCTGGAGATTTCCCTGGGGACAGTTTACTAGTCACAGGGTCACTCCAGTTGCCGGTGTCCTGTTGGGTAACCTGTGGCCGTGTGCCTGGAAAGAAGGTGGCCCCTTCGGATTCAGTGGACAATTGACGTGTGCAGTTTTGCAGCTTCTCGTATTTGTTCTGTGTCTGTGGTCCCCTGGTGATATTTGCCACCGTGTGCCTGACAGCAGGTGTCCGTGGCTCCTCCCAGTCCTTCATTATTTTGTCCATTTTTCTCAAAGACTTAGCTCTTTTCTAGAAAATTGTTTTTCTCTGTTGTTTCTCTGCTTTCAATTTCTAATGTTTGCTGCACTTATCTTTTACTTCTTACTTTCTGTTTGCTTTACATTGATTTTAGTCTTCTTTTCTAAGTTCCTGAAATGGGGCTAAGAATATTAAGATAAAATTTTCTTCTTTTCTGATGTATTTTTAGTGCTATTAATTTTTCTCTCAGCACTGCTTAGCTGAGTCCCAGTTTTGACATCTTTTAAATTTTATTTAGTTCAATGTATATATTTTTATTTCCCTTGAGACTGTCTCTTTGATGCATGGGTGATTTAGAAGTGTGCTGTTTAGTGATTGGTGATTGTTCTTTCATTTTTTTCTTATTAGTTTCTGTTTTGATTCTGCAGCCTACAGAGACTGTAATTAAGTTCAATGCCATGGACAAACCGGCAAGCCAGAATGTCCCCTGTGGGGAATGAACGTTCAGGTTGACATATTCTGGCATCAGAGGCTTGCGTTCAGGCTAAATTAAACTTCACATCTGTGGACAAACGAGCTAATTATCAAACTTGGGGTAAAATACAAATTGATAAAGCATCTCTTTGACCTTTTCGAAAGCTGTTAGTCGTTAAAGTATTATGCATATTATTCTACTTGTTTACTCATTCCGAGTTCTGACTTTACCATCATTAAAATTTGTAAGTAGATCCAAACCCAGTGATACGTGAAAAACATCTTTAAAATTCAAAGTGTGTGTCATGAAATCCAAACGTTAAGATCAATTTATTTGCCCTCTGCTCAAGGTCGTGATTGATTGTTGGTTCCTACCCTGTGACTCGTGTTTTCAAGAGGACCCGTGGTTTATTGTAGAGAGACGATACTCGCAAGCACAGTCACTGTGGGCTGTCACAAACCACCGCCCAGTGGTTCCGGAGGGACATCACAGACACACAGGCAGATGCAGCAGCGTCGGTTTGGGCTGCGGGTACGAGGCGTCTTCCCGACGTCTACGGCTCCACCTGGTCTCTTTAAGACAGTGGCGGGTTGTCCTCTTCCCTCAAGGAAGACTGTTTCCCAAACTCGTTCAAGTGAACAGGCTCTGATGATTGAAGACACTCAATCAGCCAGCGATGCCTTGCGCACGGGTCCTGTCACCGTCCAATGCCCCACCTCAAATAAGTGACCCGCCGTGAAAAGAGGAGTCACTTAGGCGTTTCTATTTCAGTCTTGTTTCACTTGGACGTCTTAACATTTCTTTCACGTGTGACCCGAGGGCTATGATCGTGAGTGTAAATAAACTCCGGAGATAGCAGAGTTTACAAAAGACTTGATAAAAAGACTGGGTCGGGGTTTGGGCCCCTCCCTGTTGACAACACACACCTTGGAATCTGGGTGTCCCCTGGGTGAAGCCTCATCAAACTCGCTTCAGCAACACCTTCCTGCTCTTTAACCGTGTCCGTGTGTTTTTTCTGAAATTCAGGTTGTCCGGGTTTCAGCTGCCCTCTGCCATCGTCAGCACAGGATCCATCCTCACGCTCTGGTTCACCACCGACTTCGCCGTGAGCGCCCAGGGCTTCCGAGCGCTGTACGAAGGTAGGACCCCACTGTGCTCTGCACATGCCCCCTGGGCTTTGCAGAGCGGCGCCCACTTGCCGCATGGTCTGGATTAAAGATTTTAGTGGGCCCGTAAGCTGCCATTCCACCGGTGATGGAATGGCAAAAATGTTCGACTCTTGCATCAGGCAGTGACAATTGGAGAACACTATTTGCTTTCCTTGCCAAACGTTTTAGGCCAAAACGTGTGTTTACAATTTTCCTTTATCGATAGGACTCTTTTTATTGGAAAAAGGGCTTGTCTGTGGACACACCGCAGGGAAGTTCGGAGGATCCGAATACTAGTCAAGGGCACTCCCTGTCTGTGAAGAGTTCATTCCTAGTACAGATGAGTTTTCTTAGGAATTGCGTTGGGCGATTCCTGGCGGTGCTCACGGGAGGGGCGTTCTGTGAAATGAGCGTTTGTGTTCTCAGTGGGAACTGTTCACCGAGAAGGTTACATGGATTTGGCTGCCCCGTCCTCGCATGGCCTTGGGGTGGCGTTTTGGTAGTTACTGTGTTTTGGGGTTTGTGTCTAGGAGGCAACTTTGGGGTCGTGCTATCGGTTTCGAACTACTTTGCAGCCAAAATTTAAAAAAGGTAAGAGAGGGTCCAGCCTCTGACAGGGAGAGTGATATAGACGATCACACCAGGTGCTCGGTGTTCAGAAATGACGTTGGTCACACTTGAAGTGCACATGCCGAGGCGTTTCTATTTCAGTCTTGTTTCACTTAGACGTCTTCACTTTTCCTTCACGTGTGACCCGCGGGCTATGATCGTGAGCGTAAATAAACTCCGGAGATAGCAGAGTTTACAAAAGACTTGATAAAAGACTGGGTCGGGGTTTGGGCCCCTCCCTGTCGACAACACAAGCCTTGGAATCTGGGTGTCCCCTGGGTGAAGCCTCATCCGTGTGTCCTTGTTCTGTGTACTTGGTGCACGTGGGCAAAACCCTCTGTGGAAACTTAGGTCTCCAGGTGCTGTGTGCACCTTCACGTAGCTGCTGTGCAGTCACAGAAAGTATCGGATGGACTGTCCTCTCTGCAGGCGTTGAGACCGACCCATCCTTCTGTTGCGAGTTCTGCACAGAGTGATCCTTAGGACGGTGGACTGTTCTGACTCTGGTGGCTTTGAGGCCATGGTGTTTGTGTGGCAGCCAGCCTCACTGGTCTAAGAGGGTTAACCATCTTTAAGTCCGCCATTGACTGTGGGGAGTCATTTAACGCTGGGAGAGTAACAGGCTCCTTTCAGATTCCTAAGTGCGGTTCTCTTTCAGATTCTCTTGTATCTGCTACTTCCTATGTGCTTTAACTTCACACCATTTCCTTTTTACAAAAAAATAAGGGTTCCTCAGGCAGCCTACCCCAGTTAGCAGTGAAGCCACCGTCACTGGTGAGATTACCACATGTGACTGCATCGGTCACATGTGCTGCCTTTGCCCAGCCTGTCCTTTCCCCTCCCCTGCCCCCACCCCCAGGAGGCTGGTACTGGAAGAGCAAGGTCTGCTGGGCTTCCGGAGGCAGTGCTGGGGGAGCACCAGTGAGCGGCCCCCCTTCTGCGAGTCTTGCTGAGCTGTTGCTGTTGGTGCTGCCGCTCACCGTGATGACACAACAGGGACAGTTGGGGACGTTATCTCTTGTTAAAAAAAATATTGACCAGTTTCCTAAAAAAAAATTAGAAAACCGACTTGAAAAGTGAGGAGGAACATAAGTGAAAGGTGTGATTTTTCAAGAGCTGGCCCTTGGAAGTGCTTTTATTTTGAAATTTATATTTAAACAGGGACATTCAAAGACAGTCTGTTTACAAGTGAATGCGAACCTTGGTTTCGAAAGGGAAGGCTCTATTGAAAAAAGTGCTTTGTCAGCAAAACCAAAATGGTTCACAACATTTAATATTGGTATTAACGGATTCCTCGATTAGCCTAAAGGTCTCCTGAGAAGAGCATTCGCACTGTCTGGAGAAAACCAGTGGTTATAGTCTGAGCAGAAGTTGGAAGGCAGGAGAATTTACCCAGAAGAGTGTGAAACTTCATCGTAAATGAAGCTGGTTTACGTATATGGTCCCTGGTTTATATATATGTCAGATACACCTATGACGCACCGAGGCAACATTGCTGGAGAGAGTGAGATAGTATTGTGAACAGCATGTATAGAATATGTAAAATAACTTTAAACATAATATAAAACAGCACCGGTGATAACTGTCAGAAGAATGGCCGTAATTCTTCTGGAATGAAAGCAGTGAGCCCTCCGGATGACTCAGATTCCCTCCTCTCATGTCAGACTTTATTGGGGCGGGATTGTCCACCAATAATTAACATAAGCTAATAATACAATGAATGTCACTGTTCCACCCAAGACATCAGGAGGAAATTTAATTTGTATAGAAAATACTTATTCAGCATTTACAAATGGATGTAATTTACTCTACTCCTTGATCTAGTATTGTTTTCTCCCAATTAAAATTAGAATTTATTTAATATTGTCAGATTGATACCTAACTTTTTCATTTACATTTATTTGCCTGACTTGAAGAAAAGCTTTCAAACTGCAAATATGTCCAAACATTATAGCCTTGGTAACAAACTTAATCCAGGCACTGACCTTTTCAGATTTCCGGCAGTACTTTTGAATTGTTATTGTTTACATTAATTATTATTGATTCATGGAAATATGAATCTGCATAATGAGCATGAAAACAATAAAATATTCTAATAAATGTATTCATTGAATTTATCCCTGGAAATCAAATGGGAATATTTATAACTTTCACACTAACTTACTAAATATGGAGCCCTCCAGGGTCCTACTGAGTAAAGTTTATAGAATGTTGGTGAAATGAACGTAAGAATAATGAAAATTGAAGTTACTAACTTAACAGTGTTTTGCATTAATTTATGGACTAACTCCAACATTAAACATTATTTTCCATGATAAACCAAAGAATTAGCAAAATTTCTTTGGTAAGTTCATAAAAGAAAATACTGCTGGTATACACAATTTACAGTAAGACAGAGCACTGTCGAAATTTCTGTATTTGTCCAGTATCAAAGTGCAAGGTATATAAGTAGCATTTATTCCCGTACTTCTCTTTGTTGACCTTCTTCCCTCAATCTAAATGATGAAAACAGTTATTTTTGCTTATCAATTTCATGATACTAAAAGATCATGCAGGTCACAGTGGGCGTAACTTGCCAACACTTGAAAATGTCGTGGTAACAAATGCGGGACAAGGTGTGGCTGTCGGCAGACTTGAGAACAGGTACGTTTGGTGACCGTGTTCATTAGAGACTGTGCCCCAGAGAACCCGACATTCTTTTCTCCGCATTTCTTCACTTTTGAAAAGAGAATTCCTCAATTTCCTAATCAATTTCCCTAATAGTGAAAAAGCGAATTGAATGTTAGAAATACCAGTGGATATATGATGAAATCTCTCCAGCTTCAAATTTTAGTTACTTTGGCCTTAAAGTCTGCTTGGCTTTTAGATGCCATTTATTTTGTTAACTCATATCATTGTGTTTGTCCCGAGTACCATTTCCAATGTTTTATAAATGATTTGGTAGTTTTTACACATTGACCTTTAACAAGACCTGGGTTTTTTTCAGTCTTTTTTTTCTTTTTAATTTTTATTTACTTATTTTTCAAGTACAGTTTTCTGTCTATTTCTCCCATCCCAGCCCCCCCACCCCGTGCTCCCCACCTCCCTCCCATTTCCACCCCCCTTAGTTCTTGTCCTTGTGTCCTTCATACTTGTTCCTCCAAATCCCTCCCCTTTTTTCCCCTTAAATTCCTTCCCCTCTCCCCTCTGGTCACTGTCCCCTTGTACTCTATTTAAGTGTCTTTGTTTTTATTCTGCTTGCTTGTTTGTTTTGTTGTTTAGCTTCCTGTTAAAGGTGAGATCATATGGTATTTGTCTTTCAACACCTGGCCTATTTCACTCAGCATAATGCTTTCCAGTTCCATCCATGTTGTTGCAAAGGGTAGTAGCTCCTTCTTTCTCTCTGCAGCATAGAATTCCATTGTGTATATGTACCACAATTTTTTGATCCATTCATTTACTGATGGGCACCTAGGTTGCTTCCAACTCTTGGCTATTGTAAATTGTGCTGCTATGAACATTGTGGTGCATGGGTTCTTTGAAATTGATGTTTTGGGGTTCTTAGGATATAATCCTAGCAGTGGAATTGCTGGGTCAAGAATCCTTTATCATAGTTTAGGTTGACTACTTAGATTTTTTCGGTGAAATAGCTTTGCTTTGACACTGATTGAATTTTTATCATACAGTATTTTGTGCGAGGTGCCATTTTTACATGTAATACACCTTGTGCGGGCCTAGGAATCACCAGCCTGTGAAACAGATAATGAGCCCACGCGTGCATCCACCAGGACCGGTACCCTCTTCACACCGACCACGTGTCAGCGGGGCGGGGTGGGGCAGGGCCGTGTGGGGGGGGCTGGACTGCCTCTGAACTCTCACCAAAGGCATCAGCCAGGGAATAGCCGGTTTCATAAGGAAATCGGAGCGAAAATCCTATGCATATTTTGACATAAATATTCACTTTTTCGATAATTGCTTGACAGGGCAGAAGGAAGGTTAATTGGATTATTAAGACAAAGCTGATAAGAAAAGAGAAATCTATTCTCTCTAAAATTTCTTTAAAAATGCTGGCAGACATGATAGTTAGAAAGGGAGAAAAACATTTTCTTTAAAGGAAGAAATTTTCACCGCACATGTAGCAGTCAGATATCTTGATCAGAAAATGCTGATTTCACGCTCTCAGCGTTTCTCTCAGCTTCCCTGGCGCCGTCTTTGGTTCTACTGGCCTTAAATTTTGTGCATGGAATCTATGGGAATGTGAGAGCACTCAAACCCATCTTAAGGGGGCAAAAGCGCACTGGGGGCACAGCGAGGGGAGTCGGACAGGCCCCCGCAGTACAGACCTGCTCGCGGCGGGAAGTTGCGCTCCACGCACAACAGCTTGTTAGCTGGAGAGAGAAAAG